TATATATATATATATATATTAGACATTGAATGAGGGTAAAAAGTATACATGTTTTTTTAATTACGGTTAAATATTTCTCCACATACATATCCATTGATAGTATGAAAAATCATGTATTATTGTATGAATGATGATATTGTTATACAAATATTATCATCCACAATTCCACATATAGGACTTTATTCTTGCGGTGTTTGACCAAGTTTTTTTTGGATAATTTTGTTTGTTAAAAGTATAAGCTTCTCCGATTAGATTTTTTAATTTTTCGGTATGAAAAATTATTTTATTTTTCAGAACTTCTTTGAAATTGTATATAACCTAACTACTTGATCTAATGAGATTAAGAGAAGCCTAACAAAAGCTATATGTCAATAATCATTGTCTCATATTAATCATATTAATCTAACATTCAAAAAATATGACTTAATTTTTTTAATTATTAGAAACTAACATGACAATATATTACACTCTTAGTGACGGAAATGAGGATGGTTAACTCATATTTAAATGTCAGTTCTCTCTTACTAACAAGTCAATGTATTACATTTTTTTTACATATAATATATATATATTTGTATGGTTGGAAAGATGTTTATTCTATGATCTTCTCAGGTACATCTACTCAATTTTTCGGAAACGGGGAGGGTGAATGCTCAATTATTATGCTAGCAACTTATTCATGTGCTGCAGTGTCACTTACTCTTTGGTTCACATTCTTCATATGGCTTGTAATATAGTTACATTATATTGCCTCATTGTCAAAGTACATAAGAGCCAAGACTATCTATATATAGTTTACCTATATATTAAAATTGGTAAAAGGTGTATATAGATCCCCATATAGTAGAATGAAAGTGTGGAAAACATAATATGTAACTTTATGCTATAATTTGTTGTCGAGGGTTGATGAAAGAAGGGTGTAAGTGAGATATATAATATATTTCGTATACTAAATAAATATTCTTCCTTATTATTATTTTTCATTATATACTAGTTGTGTTATCCGTGCTATGCACGGACATATTGTTATATTTATTCATATCAATGTGAAATATATTGATAGAGCTTCTGTCTATGTGGAGTTTATAGGTAGCTTCCCATTTAAATAGACTAATATATATATATATATATATATATATATGGATTGATCTTTTTACTCTAGAAGTAAGTTTATTTAGACTTATTTCGTTTAATAACTCATATTCTACTTCAAATTTCAATGATCTAACCGTTCAATTTAAAGTTCTTAATACATAAATCAAATCTGCAAATTTTTAGAAAATTTGAGAATCATTTGATATTTTATTTCATTAATTCAAATTGACGGATAATCATAAAATCATTTTATACATTGATTCGAATTAATGAAATGAAGTATCAAATGATTTTCAAATTTTTAAAAAAATTACAGATTTGATCTATACATTAACAACTTTAAATTAAACGGTTAGATCGTTAAAATTTGATGTGTAGAATGTGAGTTATTAAACAGAGTATGTCTAAGTAAACTTACTCCTAGAGTAAAATGATTCCACTCTCTCTATATATATAAATATTACATATTGTGGATAACACTTATTATGATTATTACTTTTTCGAAGATTTAACATTGAGTGGCAACTTAATTGTTTAATAGTATCTCATATTTGACATTCTAATTAGTGATTTTCTTCATTTGAAAAATGTCCAAATTAGTATTTCATATTTTTTCCATAATATAAAAATTAGGTTTAATATCACACCTTTATCCATCCAAGTTAATACATTTAAATGATGACTGTTATATAAAAAATTGTAAGTTCACATAAGGCCATCATATATTTAAAATCAACTTTACAATCATATTTTTATTTTTGTTGATGTAAAAAACTGCATAAAACTAAATTTCTTATGATACACTTTGCTATATATATATATTAAGATGATATAAAAATAAAATAAAATAAATTTAAACCATTATCATTTTTATATATATGAATTAATTTTAAATTCTATGATCGTTCAAAATCGAACTAAAATTGAATTTCTTATGTACGTGGTTAAAACTTTGGTTATATGATTGCATAAGAGAAAAAGTTTGTCACTAATTATATTCCTAATTATATAAAGTTTAGAAATTTATTACAGCCAGAATTTTATTTTTGGTCAATGTAAATAGAAAAACTTACGGATGCAAAAATATTATTTGTTGATCCACTTTTATGTCAAGTGTTACCCATATAATATAGTAAGTGATATAATCACATACTTGTAATTATGTTAAAATATTTTATAATAGATGTTGAGTTATCTGTCATAGAATGTTCTTTTTGTGACTGTAACGACCCGTCATGATCCTTACACTTAGTGAAATCGAACTATTACTAGTGACACTAGTACAAAAGAGGTATTTCACGTCGGATATTTTGAGCTTTTTACGTCAGAAAAAATACCGACATAAATGCGGGAGACGTAAATTTACGTCAGCCCTATAAAACCAACGTAAATTTACGTAGGACATTACCAAAATCCAACGTAAAAAAATAGTAAAAAAAAATAAAAATAAGAATGCAAGCAGAACTGCCCGTTTTGCTTGTATAACGGCCCGTTCTCCAAGCAGAACGGCCCGTTCTCCATTCAAAACGGCTCGTTCTGCAAGGAGAACATGCCATTCTGCTTGGAGAACAGGCCGTTCAGCTTGGAGAATGGGCCGTTCTGCAAGCAGAACAGGCCGTTCTGCTTCGTAGAACAACCCAAAAGAAAAGGTCAACTACCTATACAAATAGAACAACCAAAAAATCGAATTGAACAGATAGCCACAATGGCAATGCAAATCAAAAAAGTGTTAACGAAACCTTGATTCATACCTGATGAGCTGTAATAGTGTGCGAATGAGTAACAAAGAGTTCACCCTCTGCAAAAGACAAAAAAAATGATTCAGTAACAAAGGAGAGGGAGAGGGTTTATAGAGAAAAAAATGAAAAGTGATGAAGAGTGAATGCGCACGGTGTACCTTGCACTCTCTTATTCAATTTTGCGTCCTTTTTTTACGTCGGACTTGGTAGGGTCCGATGTAAAATGTCAAATCTACGTCAGAAACAACATACATCCGACGTAGATTTGACTTTTTACGTCAGACCATACCAGGTCCGATGTAAAAAAGTTTGTGAAAATTACAAAAATGCCACCGCGTCTTTTTTACGTCGGATTTTCGTATTTCTGACGTTAAAGAGGTGACATAATATACTAATTTTCCACTAGTGTGAATTAAGAGAAATATTAAAACTGGATAACTCATACATACAGGTATATAATTATAAAATATAATAACTATGTTTCTATGTACAAAATATGTACAATTATCCAAAATAATATCACCTTACTTCCGGTCAAACACAAACAATAGTTATCCAAGAAGGTAACTCTGACACTAGGACAAAACTCTTCATCTCCCAGCGGTCACCACAACTCCAAGCTAGCCCTGACCTGCTCCTATACAAGGTATAATCATCGTAGTCCAACCACATGGAAACAGAAGGGTAAACTAGAGTTCAAAAATCAACCATACAAGCATGAGAATAAATATTTATGCTACTCAACTAAAAAATCATCCAATCATGAAGTCAAACACCATACACTTCATCATAACAACACTCATGCAATTAAGCAACACATGAAAGATATCAAAATGCATATCTAGCATCTAATGCGTCGCCACGCATACACCTAGAAGATTTCCCTAACAGTAGAGCAGTATAAGTGACATCCCAATTCTACCGAAACCACCCTAACCGTTTTCACGCCCAATGCCTTCGCTCGGTCACAACTAAACAGGATATAAATCCTCACTCGGGTTTACTCGAATGATGTCACTTACACACTTGGAAGTTCGGTTCCACCGTCAGGTATAGCACAGCTAGGTACAGGCTTACCACGACCTTGGCATGCATTATCAAGTCACTTGTGGAGTTCTCCCACCGACTATCTGCAAGGAACCATGCACCTTCCCCAGTACTTGGTTAAGGGAATAACCTTCGACCTCATACCCTGCTCCAACACTAGCTAAGGACTTAGAGGAGACTCACTCAAACTAATGGCCTATCTAAGCACCATTCTCACTCTAAACCAGTGGCCTATCTAAGCACCACTCTCAAGAGACTATGTGAGCTTTTCCTGTTCGAAAACATTTCCCTCTCCTCAAGTCCTAAGCTAGACACATGCCATAAGGCATCACATGCAATAATGCATGTACATCATACATAGTCAATCCACCATCATGATCAAAATCATCCTCATATGAACATATACACATGTCATATCATATTCAAACATTCATACATATCATTACCAAGCACATATGAATCATGTATCACCATACATCATATATCATACATACATGATCAATTCTTCCCCATAAACATGCATAAGCATCATTTCAAATTAATCATTAATAAATATGTTTGCGCCCAGCGTAGCCACCGCGCGCCGGCCTAAACCTAACATGAGAGTCCTAAGACTCATCCACGCCTGGCGCGCTCGACGTACTTGAAACAGAGACTCATAGGAGTCTCCATGCCCGATGTACTTACCCTGCGCCTGGCGCAATATCAGTAAAACACAATCCAAGACCACTATCTGATATCGCGCCTAGCGTGGTTCTCCTCACGCCTGACATGAACTTATCTAGAGGCTCCCATTTACAGTCACGCCCGTTGCGACTAATCCCGCGCCTGGCGTGATCAAGAAATGAGTGCCCTTGATGAATGCACGTCTGACACCAAGAACATGCGCCTGGCGTAAATTCATACAGCAGCCTTCAAAACTTCAAAATTTTCCATCAAAATCTGAAAATCAGCAAATCCAGTCACATGAAATCCATGAAAAATAACATATAGGCTCAATACAACTTGAAAACAAACTTAAATTCAACATGCACCCATCCGATGCATCAAAATCGCCAAAAACCCCATTTTCCCCCAAACCTAGAAAATAAGCAATTCCTTCAATCCAACCTTGGATTCTCAAAATTCATGCATCAATTGAGTTCCTAAACTCACATGCAACCAAACAACCTACATTCTAGCTTTTCTCACCTGAAAGTTGGCTCAAAATAGCCAAGAATAAAGTAGAAGAAGAAATTCCTCCAAAGCTCGACCTGTGGACTTTAATCCTCCAAAAGCAAGCTTCCTTAGCTTGAATTCCAAGAGAAGACAGAAGAAGTTAGTGATCTAGAGAAGAAGAAGAATCAATTAAAGAAATTTGGGAGAGAAAGGAGCTCACAAACCCAGAGTCTTTCTCTCTAAAATTCTCTCTGTTTATTTGAGAATGAACTTATGAAGTTCCCTTCTCAGAGAAACCCTTATATACTCTTCTCTCCAAAGTCAACTAAACTCTGAAATCTACTCACTACGTTATAGTGATGAATAAGTCAATATCCATTGTTACAACTGAGATCATAACGGGACGATGCAAAAAAAAAAAAAAATATGAAGATGAAGTCACCACTAATGTTTATTTTTACGAAAAAAAAACATTAGAAAAAAAAACAAGATAGAAAGTGGTCTACAAAAATTAGATTTTTCAGTTAAGGAGTCGATTACGTGTAAGAAAAGTATTAGCACCTCACAACGTTCGTCTTAAGATGATTACCTTTAATTAATTAAACAAATTATTTATAACTTTTAAAATATTTATCTCACCCTAAATTAATCAAAATTAACTATAATGATAAAATGTATTTCATTTAACTAATGTGTTTTTTTATAAAAAAATATTATTGTTATATAAAAAGGAAGATAATATTTTTATTTATTTATTATTTTTTTAGCTCGACAATATTTACTTCCTGGTTCTACGTATCTCCATGTGCAATGGGGAATCATAGTCACATAGTTCTTTATCTAGAAAATATTTGTATGTTGATATATCTTTAATTAAATTTTAATTTTAATTTTTATTAAATTTAGGATTCTTGAACTGTCTCAGCTCATTCACCCTAAAATATAAA